ATATATATATATATATATATATATATAGTGACAGCATTTGAGATGAAGAATAAATTTACACAAAATCTCTAGATAAAGCTGTTATGCAAATAAGAGCATTATAATTACACTGTTCTTATAAAGAACTATGAAATATTGATCCTACATTGCAACCTTGCTAATTACTACATACAAATATGGCCTCAAGACCAAAATTATCAGAAGCCTCCATTTGCTACCTTTTACCAACTTACAATTCAAACCATACTCAAAACACAAACACTCAAAACTATCAATGATAAATAACTGATAAAGGTTGACTGTGGAGATGTAAATTTGGAGATAGTATCTTTAAACCATCATTCCTGTAATTGAAACACTTTTACAAGAATTAATGTTAATTTGAAATATGTCAAAAAGGTAATATCAAACAAAAAGGTAGTTTTGTAGCCAAAAAATTAAAGAAGAAACAAAACTACTGTAGTCTTCTCTGTTACCTTATTATGCATAAAATATGCATGCTTATTATTCTTCTCCACAATTATTGATGGCAAATGACAGATATGCTAGAATACTATACTTTAATGGCAGAGGGGCTGGTGCAAAATATTACCTATATCAGCTTCTTTCAGAAGGTGCCGAAGGGAAGCCCATGGAGTCTGACACCCAATTGCAGGGTTTCCATAGGACACGCCTGACGAAGACCACATCTCGTCTCAACCAGAGCATACTCTTCACCCAGAAAGCAAGGGGGTGAAGATGCAAATGAGTCTCGTGTGTTACAGGGACAGAAGGAATAAGAACATGACCATCCAAGCACTTGCACACAAGCAGTAAGTAACCCAATATGTATAGTGTGGTTGGGGCATATCATACATTTTGTGCTCACCTCAACTCCAGTGAACAGACTCTGGCTGCAGGAGGAGAACATATTAGTTATGTATTATGTTTTCCATACAGTGTGTGCTCACCTCGACTTCAGTGAACAGACTCTGGCTGCAAGAGGAGAACATATTAAGCCCAACCGATCAGGATTCTACATGGTTTACCACCCCAGTGGCTAGGAACTGGTGAATGGTAAGAGTCTTCCAGGCTCCACTCAAAGAAAAATGGAGAGAGAAATTGCACTGGGAAGACCCAGAGAAGTGCCCAGATCCCTATCAGACCACCAGCCTGTAAAGTCTTTCCCTTCCCACACCACATATCACCGGTAGTGGAGAAGCTGGGTGGGATATGTGAGAAGAGGTAATTATCTATTGGAAATACATTTTCAGATTAGGAAAGTATTAACTTCCAATATGATCTTTTACCTCAAAACAGCTAGAATCTAACATTGAACTGGTGGAAAGGATGGTCAAAAAATTATCCCCTTTAGGAAGCACCCAAAGAGAAACCATGAGGTGTGGAATCAAAAAAGAAAATATCACATCTCAGCAGGAGACCACACCACATCTGATCCAGGTATACTCTTCGCTCTTTTATGACTGTGTCGCAAACATGATAGGCAGATAAAGGGAACACAAACCTGGGGTGCATCTCCAGTCCAAAAACTGGCGGCATTAGGCATTTTTCATCCAGTCTACAGTAGAAGGAGGGATACTGTTCAGAACACATATGAGGACTTACTGAGCTGGATCATCTCCAACCAACACCTGGCCCCCTGGGAAAAGCATCTGGAGAATGGTAGGTAGGAGAAATGTCTCAGCCTGAGAGGCAAACTGCAAAATATATATATATATATATTGTGCTACAGCCAAAACCTGGCAGCATCTGGAATTGTACATTAGGTCCACAGTATGAAGATTCTCAATGTCACAGAGCATCAGAGATGGGCAGCAACCCCTATCTGCTTTACTCGTGTGTCTAGGAGTGTATGGTCTGGAACAAAAATACTTATCAAGCAAAGGACCAATAGACAGAACTTCTAATGGTCCTATTGAACCCCCCATCTCTATGATGTGCATAACCTAATCCTGTGACGTAATTGTTTTGGCACAAATGACAATTGAATGGAGACACACAACCAACACCTGGAATTATACATTAGGTCCAGGTTAGGAAGAGCTACAATGTAACTAACATTGAGCATGGTCACAGGATGGACAGTGTGGATTTTCAAAACAAAGTATACCTGGTCAGGCACCATTCATCACAGAGTGGGATCCACAATACACTAGCAAAAAGTACCCTGTAAATAACGAAATAAAAAACATAATAAAGAAAAACTAAGTCTGTAGTATAATGGAAAATGTTGATAAATGTTTGAGAAAAAACAAGCATGTCTGTACAGTACTACTGCCAATCGAGAAGTGCAAATGTGGAGAGGACACTGACTGGTTACGATAGGGGTTGTGTCCCACTCCTACTGGTGAACAGCTGCTGCATAAACATTTACACGTGAATAGACAAAAGCAGGAGGTGGATGGCTACTGGCAAACATTGAAAATATGCACCAATAGAGGGCAGTACTAATTGAGAAAAGTTATTTTGTGAGAAGTGGTAAGATATCATATTGGAATGAATTTTTCAAAAAATAATTAGATCTTAGTAACAGACAAAAAATGTTTCGTTAATCAATATGAATACCTCCCACTTGTAATGCTTTGAAAAGTTCGGAAAAATATATATTTTCAATTAAGAGCATCTGTAGTTAAGTTTCATGTACATAAAAAATCTTACCTTCCAATGATCTTCTTTTGAAGCGTAGAACTTTTGATATGCAGACATAGCTGGAATGTAAAATATATTATATCATATGTATTCCTTGTACTTACTTTTTAGACATTATCATTAAATGAATGGATTAGAATTACTAGTTTGATAACATACTCATTAAATAAAACACCTACATACAAGTTTATTTATAACATGTGTAGAGGTTGAGTCCATTATATTAAAATGATTTTTGGAGCCTCACCAAGTCATTACAGTAAATTTTCAGCATGATGGTCATGCTTTATCTGACAAATGCTCATCTTGACAATAGCCCTGCAGTATGGTTTCCATTGCAAAGTGCTTTACTGTAAGGCTGTCAGATCCAAAACACACCCCTACTCCTTTCCATAATATATCTATTGAACAAGGATGATAACTTCCAGTTCCTGTTTCAACAGAAATCCATAAGTGCTGCATCTGGTGACTTGGCCTGTATATCCTCACATGGAACAGCACAAATACACATTTCATTCTTCAGCTGCTTGATGTATGTAATGACTGAACAGAAATATCATGGTAGAAACTTGATTACATTATGCAATGCTGCTTGAGACACATTGACATTTTTTGCCACTAACTTTCTGATACATTCATGGGCTTTCATCTGTTACAGAATGCCACACTTTGCTTTCCAAGGCTAATGTATGACTTGTTGCAGGTCTCTTTTACGATGGTCCTGGTTCTCCAAGTGGATTCATATTTCTTTGTTTTACAAAGAAATTAAGTACAAGGGGTTCCCCCTTGGAAATCCTAAACCCCCAATCTGAAAACACCTTTATGATCTCAAAACAGATCAGTTTTCAGTGACATCACGCAATACAAAATGCTGATCAATGTCAAACTGTAGTTATGATACATGCAGTTCCACCATAACTTTATATTGATCATGGTTGTCACATGACTTGCTGATTTGCATATTTAAGATTGTTTTACTATAACATAATCAATCCTCTGTAAATCCTTTCTAAAAGATTAGGAATTTCTCTACAGAAATTGAAATTTATCAAAACTAGATATTAAATTTCTATTAAATAGCTATGTGGTGAAGCTAAATGAGCTATTTCTACTGTACAAGATACTTAATCCCCCCATTTCAGGATGGAAACTAGTATGATTTTTATGATGTAACACACAAAGTCATATTATTCCAACTTTATGAGATAGTCAGATCTGAGATGCTACCTTTCACTTCATATTTTTATGAGGTTAAGAGGTAATTCTTAAAGTTAAGTCATACATAACTGGTACAAAATAAACTAAATCACTTGATATCATTTCTAAATAAATGTATCTGTCCAACAACTCTACAGAAAGATAGCTGTGGTGCTTAATTATCTTAATTATCCAGAGACCATTTGCCTAATAAGGAAAGATTATAAAATATGAGTTAACGACGACATAAGTACGGAAAATAAGGTTATACCTTTGGCATAATCTTCAAGCAAAAGCAGAAAATGACCTAGTTTACAATATGTTCGAGGATCTAACTCTTTTGCTTTTGAAATTGTCTGTTCATTCTTTTGATCAGGTTGTCCAGGTACTTTTCCCCCCTCTTGTTTGGCATTTTGCTGTTTGTTAGCAAGCAGTCGTTCTTTTTCCTTGAACTGGTGATGATGTATTAAAACCCGTTCCAAGTATTTCACTGCCTAATGAGGAAAAACATTTAAATCAAAGAAATTAATGGATTTGTGTCTGCAACTCATTGGATTTACAATTGTAATGAAAATCTTACCAAGTAATTTAATGTCAGCAAGAATGTCTAGATTACTATACATATATTATACCAGGGCACTAATTGTTAATTAAAAGTTTGTAAATAATACAACTATTCTATGATAAAGCTTTTTCAACATATTCTCTTTAAACAGGAATATATATAAGATAGATAAAACAATCTATTTTGCCTTCCAAATCACGTTCCCTTCACCAAGGAATAGATTAGACATACATGCAAAACTAATCTACCCAAAATTCAGTGAATGTACTAAACTTCAATTAAATAACTTACAGTCTAAAATTGCACAATGTAGATTTATTTGAAAAGATATACTGAGAGAATAATAGTGCTCAAACTCTTTGACATGCAGCAAATATACCTTCAAAACTGGATGAACAAAATGCACCCCAACTTTAGTTATGAAAAAGAGAGAGAGAATTAACTTTCAATCAAAGCCTCTGTGAGAAGAAATTGAGGATAAAACATAATTTTGCATATATATATCACTTCACATTTATTTATGCATAATGAATTCCACATGTAACAGAAGGTAAATAAATTATTCTTATTTTTTTACTCAACAGTTTTCGCTATCATGATAATATGCGAGATATTTATTTCATGCTAGTTGACGCACCTGCACAGAGAAGACACAAGGGGGCTAGAGTCCATTTGCATGTCTTTCAACATCAATATTTCTTTTTCACTTTGTTTCTTTAGGAGCTTTGTTTGACAGTGTCTATTGTTTTCCCTCTAGTTGAGTTATTCTAATTTTTCTGAGCTTTCTTGATTTTGTCATGCCATCCATCTACCTTTTCCTTCTCTTGCTAAACAATGTTTTATTTCTTGCACCATTTCTGAACTATTTTTAGTTTTACTGAGAATTTTAGTTTATAATACATTTCATAGTTGATGTTAAAAGTGTTCATTTGAAATGAAAAACTGAAGTGGCTTGATGCTGTAAACATGCCATCTTTTAATTCAAAAGTTAAATAATATCTCAAATCCCTGATTTAATTTACAATGCTATTGAAAGAGCTTGCTGTTAGTATTATTTATGGAAAAAATTAACATAAAATCCCAACTCAAGTGGGATTTAAACACAAGACTTCCACATGAAAGTCAAACACTGTAACAACTGAGCCACATTGATATCCAAGTATTTGAAATCCAATGTTAACAAATATTAATTCAAAATATCATGGTAATTGTGTTTTTCCAAATACTAAAATAACTCAAGTTTGGACACCATCACTTATGTAAAAAAAAATCCCAACTGTACTAGTATTTGAACGTGAAACTTCCACTTGAGGTTCAGGTACGCTAACCATTGAGGAAACTTGAGCATTACCAAGACACAGTGGCTTTTATATATATAGATAAGTTCATCACTTCTTCTACGTAATAAAATAATTATGCTTCCACAGATACTCTTCCCATCTTAAAAATGAACAAATTGATAGTCTGATAAGTGGTCTATATCATGTATTTTCATGTACTCTTTTCTGATAGATTAAATACAGTCCATGTAAATAAATCTTAGCTTGTGATATTTTATTTAATTTTTCACACCAGAGAGTGATGGAAAGTTAATGAAACTAGATTGATTTTATGCCCAAGATACTTAACTTTCAGACAAAAATACTGACACCTCTCTCCTTTTCCACATGCATTCATGTTTGAGTTCTATATCTCATAAAGTTTTAATATTATGCACTTGTTCCACATTTTTGCTTTTGTCAATGGATCTTTAAGAAAATTTATGATATGCACAATTAGGATGATGCTGAGACAACATATAGAAGGACAAAAGCTAGTTCTAAATATAAAATAAAAATTACTCATTTGTGAACAGTATGTCAAATCTGACAAGCTACTGAGTGTATATATATATATATATATATATATACGTGTTCTAAATTATAGTATAGTATTATTTTAGTAACAATGGTAACAATTTCAAACAACATTCTATCTGGAAATATTTGTCTAAATATGAAACATATGTCAAAACCATTTTCAAAAACTGTAACTCTCCACACTTATGGGAAGCTATAATTTTTTATAGCTGTGGTAATAATTTAAAATGTCGTGCACTTATCTAGCAGTAAAATATTCCTGTTATCTTTAACATGAATATGATACGTTGAAGCACAATGCAATATTAGCTAAGCTGAATTGGAATGATCTAATAATTTCATTTTCTGGAATATACACTTAAACACACTTTACAACTATAAATGTAAGTGGCAATCTATTGAACATAATGATATGAAAACTCTTCATCATGTTACTATAAAATTCATTATAGTTTAAATTTAATTTGATACCTTGAAATTAATTAAGATATATATATATATAGTAAAAATGATGCATGCAAGTTACATATTGCATCACTCTCTTTTATTAAGACTTAAAAGTACTGTGTGGTATTCAGGTATACTGATATCCAAATGAACAAGTATCCAAATTACAGATTCAGGAAATGTTATGTAGAAAATAAATGAAACACAGGCAGCAGAGGAAAAACAAGTGAAGAAGTGAAACAAATATTTATTTGCAATAGTGTTCATATTTAACATCACATTGACCAACTTCTTGCTTCCACTATGATTTCTCACTTGCTACTGCAAAGGATAAAGAAAGAAGAATAATGTTAAATCTCACTTTCAAGTCAGACAAAAGGGTCCTAGGGTAGCATCCCACAATTCTTACATTACCTTTGTCAACAATTATTTGACACAACCTATTTAAAAGATAGAAGCATAGTACCCCTAACACATACCAGCTTGCATGTCTCACCCCAAAAAGATAACAGATACAAAGTCAAGATTATACAAATTTCTATAGAGGTAGCCAATGTTTATGTAAATGGTATCAGGAGGCCACGTCATCCAGTAAGAAGACAGCTCAACTCTCGTGTGTGAGTAAATGGTATTAGGAAGCTGTCATCCAGTAAGGTGACTGATCAACTCCCATGGTTGTGTAAATAGTATCAGGAGGCCATGTCATCCAGTAAGGTGACGGCTCAACACCCATGTGTGAGTAAATGATATCAGAAGGCCACATCATCCAGTAAGGTGACAGCTCAACTCGCATGGTTGTGTAAATGGTATCAGGAGGCCACGTCATCTAGTAAGGTGATGGCTCAAATCCAGTGTTTGTGTTACAGAACGAAAGGAAATATGAAAAAATGATGAACAACCCTCCTGAGATGATGAGGTCTAAGGTAGAAAGGAATGACCAGGATAGAGGAGAAGATAGGCAAGGTGATAAAGGGTATGTGAAACATCAATGGCATACAAGTCTGACCTTCGACATCCACAGGCTAAGAGAAGGAGGAAATATGTTTTATGGGACAGATGAAACAAGAAACACAAGGAGAGTGGTTCAAATGGAGGTAAAGTAAGGGCATGGAGGACCACATTAATGTCCTAATCCAGAAGTATTGGACATCTGGGAGGTTGACATATCTGAAAGGAACGCATAAGCATGGTAAGAATAGGGGAAATAAAAACCTAATGGTATTGGGAAAAACAGAAGGTATGGGAGAAGGCTGCCCAATATCTGGAAAGCAAGGAAACCCACAGTCGAAGAGACAGGTGAAAAATTCCACCACAAAAGCCACAGAAGGCTTGTCAGTAGAACACCCTTGTTAGCAGACCAACAGTAGAATACTTTCCACTTGGATTGGTGTACTTCCATGGAAGATGGCCATATGGAACAAGCTTAAAAGGAGGCGACTCGATGTGTGAAACCAAATCATCTCACCAAGTACCAGACAATAGCCAGGCGTGAAGATGCAGGATATCTAGATTGGGATGTAGAATGCGGGATCAAGATTGACTAAGAAAGGAGGAAGAAAGTGGAAGAGGGACAAGCAGTGATTGGAGTAGATGTTGCAGCCTTGGAAACCAAGGTTAAACTGACCAATAGGGAGCAATCAGGATGACCCAACAAGGAGTAGAGTGGACAAGAGAAATCACCCAATGAAGCAATTGAATGGGAGGGTACACATAAAGATATTTATGTGACCAATCCTGGTTGAAGGCATCAATAGCCCAAGCCTGTGGAAGTGGTACAGGTGACCAAAAAAGGGACAGCTTTGTATTGAGGCCTGTGGAAAAGGCATCCAATTTGGGAAAACCACACTGATGGCAAAAATCCCTGAAAACAAGTGAATCTAATGCCCAGTCCATTGGATGTATTTGGTCAGGGCATGACAGACGATCTGTGATGAGATTGAAAGCACCCGGCACATGACATGCAATAAGGCAAATGTGATGTGTATGGGCCCAGTATAATAGATCCAATGTCCAAAAACAAAGATCTCAGAACCGGGTTGATATGTGCCACCACCATAGAATTGCTTGAATGAACCATCACCAAACAATAATGGATGAGAAAAAGTGATGCAATGCTTGACGTACTGCTAAAAGTTCTAGATATTGATATGCAAGATGGTTTTGTCTGCAGACCAGCAGCCTGAAGACTCCTGGTGACTGACCCATGCCCCCCATCCCTCAAGGGATGTGTTCATGAAAAGATGTAGATCTGGACACGGGGGGAGGAAGCAGCATGCTCACCAACATGTGAACTTTGTTCAGCCACTGATGCTGCTTGTCTGGTCTTGGTACTTGAGTAAAAATAGCAATAGAAGTGAAATAAAATACTCCATACTGGTAACCCAAATTCAGCAAGTTACTGTGGCAGACTGCACCACATCTGAACCAGGTATACTCTTCGTGCATGTGGAGCCAACAGGTGAGGTGTCACAATCAAAGGGTAGAACAAGGTAAAAATTCCAAATCTGTAAGGAAAAGGAATGTGTGTAGAGTGGCAAGAGTATGTCAGACCATAAGCAGAAGGTCAACTCAAGTCCAGACCAGTGCCACCAGGGGGAACTTGGCCGGTCCATGGTAGGAAGAGGATCCTCAATCATTCAATTCAGGTCTAGGAATCAGAAAGAAAGAGGAGCCTCCAAAATCCAGCAAAACTTGCAGCAAGTAACCCCAGGAATGTACATCCAGATGACATCAGAAAGATGGAAATGCCACCTGGAGGGTCAATTCCAGTCCAAGACCAATCAGCATTGGGGATGTAACATTCAGTCCACAGTAGAAAGAAGTTTCTAGCCCACTCAGATATGAGGACTTATGTTGGCTGGCCCAGAAACCAACATCCAGGCAGCAGTAGGAGGGAAGGTTCCAAGTCGGAGCCATGAACTACAAAATAGATGGAAAAATCCAGTCAAGGCCGGCAGCATCTGAAATAAAGCATCAGACTCACTGCAGGAGGATAGTCACACCTTCTACACAGACAAAATGCCACTACCCTACTTTCAAATAAGTGGAATTGTGAACACTTGGGAGAATTCCTCCATGATCCACCACCCCAATGGCTAGGAGCTGGTAAGTGGAAAGGACTCCTGTACTACACTGGAAGAAGGGCGGAAAGAAAGATGTTGGAGAGTACAGAGGAACACATCACTGGAGAAAGTGCAATGAGTGACTAGGAAACCCTATTTTGAAAAGCAGACCATTCCCAAATCTGGCAATCTAAGGAACATTAGAGATTGGCAGCAATCTATTTCTGCTTAATTCATGTTATTCCATGATTGTACAGTCTGGGACAAACATATTTATGATGCAAGAAACCATGAGGAAAAACCTGCAAACAGTCTTATGGAACACTTCATCTCAACAGTAAACATGATAAGACCTTATAGACCTCAAAGTACAGATCTTGGATATCAGTATACCTGGATAGGCACCAGTCACCACAGAGTGGGATCCATAAGATGTAAAGTAGGCTCCTGAAAAGAAAAATGAAACAAAATAACTTCCCACTCAAAGTTGTACTGATGTATGAAGAATGGCTACATGGGAAAAATGATAACCAGCCAAGCTGGAAACTGCCAGATGATGCAAGTAGCATGACTCAAAGGTGTGGGGAGTGGTCCACATGCCAGCCTGGATAATCACCTCCAAAGGACAATGTAAAAGCAGCCAAGAACATGGGGAGGTGATGGATCTAATGGGACAAAACAGAGAATAATGGAACTAGCAAGATTCAAGAGAAAGAGAGTGAGATCAGGAAAGGATGTCATGCATGATATGTAACACCAGAAAGAACGGACCAGACACAGGAGATGAACCAAATCAGAGCAGGAGGAATTATGGGATATGGAAGGAAGTGAAACAGGGTGAAAGCGAAATTGCCTTTGCGGGAAGCTGATGTTTTGGGAAGGAAGGAAGGAATGGTCAGGACATAGGTTTTGTGACACAAAATGTGGTGAACATCAATGGCAACAAGTTTGACTGGTCACATCCACAATACAAAAAGAGAAGGAAATACATCTTCAAGGAAAGGTAATATAGAGAACATGAGGCTAGCAGTTCAAAGGGAGGAAGGGAAAGGACATGGAGAACAACGTTTAGATACCAGTCCAGCAATTGAGTGGTATGAGAAGGGTGATGGAGATGTACAGACCAAAATAAAAATAAATAACTAGAGAGGAAAATATGGCAAAAACGAGAAAAATAAAAGGTAGATGGCAAGGCTGCCCTAAAGCCAGCAACGGTTGAAATGGACAGAACCATGTCAAACAACCATGTGAAAACCAGATATCTGAGGAAAGGGAGAATCCATGCCGAAGAGACCAACAATGAACTATTCTACACTCAAGTTGATACACAGACATGGATGAAAAACAGAGTGAAATAACAGGGATGCTACATGTATGGATAGTCCTGAACCCCTTATAAGGGGCCAGACAAAAGCCACGTGTGAAGCTGGACTGTGGGAACAGAGGGATGAAACATCCCTGAGTGAGGTTGCCAGAGGAGTGACCAGGAGAGAGGGGGAGGTAATGGAGGTAGTGCCTGAGAAGTAATAGAAACAACAGTTGAGCCAACCAGAAAGGAGTCACATGGAGGACTCTACATGGAATGGATTATATGAGAGCAATTACTCAGGGTATAAGATGATGAATGAGTATGTAGAAAGGTCCTTCCAATCCTGGCTGAACACATCCACAGCCAAAGGATGTGGAACTGAAGGCCAAAAGAGAGAGGTAGCTTGGCATTCAATTAAGTAGCAAATGCATATAACTGGGGAGTATCCAACTGAGAACATAGCCACCAGAATACCTGGGTATCAAAAGACCACTCCATGGGTAGAATCTTGTTGGGACAGGACAGGCAAACTGCAAAAAGAGTGAGGGCACCTAGTATGTGACAAGCCAGCAAACGAATTTGTTAACTGTGAGTCCAGAAGGTGAGCTCTTAAATGTGGGAACATAAGGAATGCCCCCTTATCAGGTGATGCAAGAGACAACAATCACGTCATTAGAACGAATCATAACTATCATGCCATGCAGAGATGACAGAAACTGAACCACTGCCTGACAAACAGCAAAAAGTCCCAAAAAACTAATGTAAAGATCTAACTCCTCCACAGACTAACAGCCCAAGATCTCCTGTGCATTGCAGCACACACCCCATCTTGACAACGAGGCATCTGTGAAGATGTGAATATCCGGATGGGGAGAAGAAATATGTACCCTCACTGTTGTGTTGTCCCTGAATAACCATCAAAAGAAGTCAGACTGAAGGGGAAGCAGGAAGGGACATCAGTAAATCGAGAGTGTCCCTGATAAGGTACCATTGATCATGTAGTACCCCCTGAATGAACATATGTGGGCATGACCAAAAAGGACAAGAGCCTCCAGTAATGCCCAAGTTCCCAGAAACAGAACCTCTCACGCAGGGAGAGAAAGAGCTGATAGTGTTGTCTCAACTAAAAACTCTATGGCTTGCAGACGAAGAGGAGAAGGTTGGGCTCGAATGAGAAGGGAGTTAAAAGCACACCCAGAAGAACAATATATTGGGTGGGGTGGATAATCCACCTTGAAAATCCAACCCACCTGAGCAACTTCTCTAATGAGAAGTTGGGTGTGTGAAAAACTCTGCAAAGGATGGAGCCAGAAGAAGCCAGTCGTATATATAAAGATGAAAATTGATAAATGTGACCCTCGTTGTCAAAACAAAGATAACAACATAAAGCCCAAGCAATAGGGATGTGAAGATAAGCATTAGACACATCAAATCTCCCATCCAAAGTCCTGAAAGAAAGGCCCATCTGTGAAACAGGTAAGATTCCATGGTGAACCACAGTCACTAGGTCTAAACATTCTTGTGCCAAATCGAGAAGTGAAGACTGAATTCAAATGCATAAAGGGAGTCAGCTGCAATAGGAGGTTTTATCGCACTTCTGTTGGTGAAGGACTGTCGCATGCTAATTTGCATGCTTAAATGCAGTTGAACCACATGGTATACATGTGGAATTAGGTGGAAGTTTCAAGACTAGTGGTGAACAAATATTTACACACTTAGAGGGCAGTCAAATCAAGAATAGCTGTAACTGTGAACAAAGGTAAGTAATCATCTCAGAATTCAAGCTCATAAAGTATAGTGGATTAAAGTTTAGGTATTGGATTTGTTAAATATTGGCAAAAATTGATAAAAATCCAGATCCTGAGTCCTGATTTAAAACTGAAAATAGGTTTGAATTTCATTAAAAATTTACATATTAAAACTGGTAATTTTAATCTTATACCTTTTTTCAGTAATGCACTGGAGAAACATTAACATATGTTAGCAAATGGCAACAACTCTGCTTTCATATTTTCTCCTCTAAAAAATAGCACATTGATAAATGATAAAAATAACAGGAAATTAAGTCTTACAGAGAAAAAGATGAACTCTATAAAAAAATTGTTTTAGCTCTATGGGTATTTACCTTCATAAATCTTATGTTATCTATTAACTCACAAAACTGTGAAAAACTTTATGTATATAGTGAAATAAACTTTATCTGTCTCTATGACACATATTTTACTTAAAATGTAAATGCACAGTTATCTGTAACTCGTTCTCCATACTTTTTAATGCTTCATACTTTAAGTGTATTATGGTTACTCATTTTGCATATTTCCTCCTCTTAAGGGGTTATTTTGTCTACTTTGTATCACCTTATTATATAAAGGTTGCCACATACACACAGTCTATAAACATTTGTCTTTTAAAGCCTACCTAGCTTATAAAAAACCATGGTACATCTAGGTAATGTCCTCACAGTAAAAACAACAATTTTTTAAAGTTTTTTTTACTTGGTTCAACTCTGAAAATTTCATTATAATCTTACTTAAGTGTAGAAATTTGTAAACCAAATACATACAAAATAAGCTTCAACTGGGATTTTGTATCATAATTTATAATTCTGAATGTTAATGTTTATTACATTTGAAAAACTAAAGTTAAATTAAGTTTACATAAGATACCATAGAATGCTTGGACACCACACCAAAGTTTTGATTGACTCATTTTTTCTTACATATCCATACTTCACCCAATTTACTTAATTTTCTATTTACATATCATGTGGGTAGAAAATTGACTGAGGTTATTTTTTTTTGTGATATTTACAGTAAAAAAAATGTCAAGGAGAATGTCAAACTGCTTTCCTTAACCCTCCTATTATTTTGATTTAATTGACCTGACACTGGTTTCCATAACGTTATGATACATTTAAATATATAATCAAGGTTACTATAACGAGAGTTCCCCTTAATTTCTAATACTTAACATCAAAGAGTTGAAGTTATATAAATACAAAATATGTTATAAATGTTTACTATGACCTAAAACATACCAAACACCCCAAAATCCTGAACATTATAAGAGGGTTAAATTACATGTTTAAGCACTCAAGGTATGGTTTTAAATCATTATTTTTCAACCAGTAAGCAATTTTTTAACTTGTAAACTATACTACTATGAATAGCAAATCTACCTTACCTTGTTTATTAATGCTTTCCTTTTTACATTTTCAGGGAGATTAAGTTTTAGAAAACCAAAATGTCGGCTGAAAAAAAAAACAACCAACCACGTAAAAGTTTGAACACAGCAAAATTACACTTAAGTTTCATATAACACTTACATCCTAGGTTTTAGCATTAGTGGTATTTTTCCACAGTACAAAATACTGATGCATAAATGAATAATATTATATGCTTCTGTTTAATCCAAAAGAGCAGTCCTTATTCACAAGAGAATTGAAAATGAGGCTTTGTGAGAATCCTTGTCCTAGAGCCGGGAAATTAGTGGAAATCTAATCAATTAATGAGTCCAATGATTAATTCATTAATTACATTCAACTAATAATTCAACTAAACTTCCTATTTTCAGCTTTTTTTGTTTGTTTTTTAAAGACAATTTAAATTACCCTTCATTTAATATAATATACATCTTCAGGCACAACAATTCAGTATTAAGTTCATTTTTGAACTTTAAACTGTTGTACATAAAAGTGTATCATATATGCTACTTCATATGAAACTTGTAACAAGCTCAAAATAGGACTAATATCATTGAATGAGTTTCTCCCTACACTTTTTCATAATACTACTCTATTAAAACTAAATAAACTAATTCTTTATTAAAAATAACTGAACTCAGATTTCATGTGAAAGAACTAGTAACTATTCTTGTTACAGAGTGTAATAGGTAATATACAATTCAGTGAAAACTAATTCACTCTGATCCCAGAAAAATAAAGACCATACAATGTTTACTATTTGGAAAGAAAACCAGATTACCTTTTTTTTTAATGACAGAGATTAAAATGATTCTTAAGGTGGAAATCAAAGTATTATGAGAAATACTAAAATCATGATAAAATGAAAAAAAATCCTTAATTATACACCTTTCACAATTTCTTTCTAATCCCATCATTGATGAAAAAAAATTCAAATATAATTAAAGGCTTTATAAGTATATAAACATCATAAGCTTTTAAGCCAGAAGTTATCAAATCGAAATGGAGGACGTTTAGAAAGAAAATATTAAAATAATTAATACGTTTACCGGTACAAGCTGGAAAAAACTGTAGAAACATATAAGTATGCTGATGATTCAATAAATCAAAAACTCAGTTTAGTGCACTAAGCAGTGTTTAAGTGTGACATGACAAAAGCCAGATATTATTTTTCCCTTTCCATTGATTCCTATTTATCTAATTAAACAGGAGCCCTGTTCATGTAAATAGATTAATTGTTTGATGTTATTACACACTGACTAGTGATTTTGAACACTTTAGTGAGTTGTATACAAATAGAATGCATACATACCATCGCTCATTGTTGTGCCAACAAAAATAACTATGTTAATATTTTCATTACATAAACTGTTTGAATAATCAGAAATGCTAATTTTGATTAACTGACAATTTTTGTAAGTCATGATTAAATGAACAAACTGAACAACTGAATTAATAAAAAATAATAATGGAAACCATAATGACAATATTTCAACTTAATTAATACTAAGATATCAACACAGGTAACTGGTGTTTTTTTTCTTTCTCTATAAAACTAATCATAACATTTATTCTTATATAGATGATATGTATTCTAATACATGAATTAAATCAGCTCTTGAAACTACCGTCAGAACTTTTTCAAAGATAAACATATTATGGTGATAACAACAAATCCAACTTTTGTTCCCATACTGAATGGATCTGACTCCAAATTACAATTTAAATAATTCTGTTATGTGCATACTTTTTATAATTACTTAATAACCCTTTCCAGGCTAACATCATCTATTAATGAAAATGTTTTGAAAATTATAAGCCAGTTAATGTAACTTTCTATAATGAGAAGGATTCTGAAGTCTGGTAAAAGAAGCTTTGAAAAATCATTTATAAAAATAGGGAACCATAAAAGTGAGTCACATAAATTCTCTAAAGGGAAATCTTGTTTTACTTGTGTCAGTGTTGGATGCTCACCACTTCATCAATTGCAATTAATGACCCAAAGTGGTACATCAAAAAGCTTGCTTTTACCACAGTGGCAATGAAAATATCATAGAGTCTGTAGGCTTTATATGCAGGATGACTAAGGTATTTAATATACATAATACAAATATGCATGGTAAAAAATCAACAGTGGCAGAGTTTTACTTTAAAAGGTGATTGCCACTCACTTGACTGACCTCATACTCATTTTGTACTTTTTTAGAGTGTAAAATTAAATCTTAATATTGAAAGTCAAATAGGGATGATCTATGTATAACTGTATTATCCCTATATTTTTGTTTGCATTATTTTTGCCACTGCCATCATCACATCATTTTACATTTAAAAAATGTTTTTATTACTTGTATACTGAATCATTGCTAAGTTTATTTTCTATTCCACTGTCTTCTTTTTCCCTTGTTGACTGCTTGAATCACAACTAGGCACTACCAAGCAACAGTTACTCTTGCTTAGGTCATGCCATTACTAGATAACTAGCCATGGTTGGGTTATGGCATTTTAAGCCTTAAAACTAGGCCTATTGACTGTCATACTTACAGATCCCTAGATTATTCTACATTTTAAAATGTATTCTGAATTTTGTTTCAATTATAATACTGATCTAATGAAAGAGTTGGGAAGAATTAAAATTGTTGCGATGTTTGACAGTATCTCTTCTCTAACAATTTCATTATCTCCACATATGTCGTATTAATGTCATAAGCATAGCTATTAAAATCATGTCACAACTGGATGCTAATATTAAATCTAATATAGCTTCTTCTCTTGTAGGTTCCATCACCAGTTGGTGTATAAAAGTATCTTGAACAATTTCCAAAAACCCATCCCCCTCACTCAAAATTTTCCTAATCAATACCCCTGAAATTAAAATCTCCCATAATAACATCTTTTTCAGCTAACATTCTGATCTCATTATACAGTTTCTCATTAATTTCCAGATTCTGATCTGGTGGTCTATCACAATAGCCAATTACAAGACTATTCCTTTTATATCCACTAACACTAACTCAAACTGACAACCTCAGTGCTAATTTCTTTAATATGTTCTAATACAACAGGATGCAATTCACTCCTCATATATATATAAAGCTACTCCTCCCCCTTTTTTCAATCCTCTATCTCTAGTAAATAATCTGTAGCCTGGTATTTCAAAAAAATTTCTCTCATCAAAATGGTTTAAATCCAACCAAGTCTCACTAATATTCATAATATGAAAATCCTTAGTTTCCACAATTGCTTTGAACTCATAAGTTTTATTTCTAATACTCCTAGCATTACAATAGTAGCATTTAATCATAGATTTTAAAATACACTCATGTTTTATGCCTTTTGTACATGTTTTCTTGTCAATTATATTTCCTCACCTCTGTCTAGCTCCAATTTAAATCTACCACTACAGCCGAGTTAATAGAACTTGCTAACATGCTAGTCCTTGCCTTGTTTAAGTGCAAGCCATCCATTCCAAAAAAGATTAACTCCCATTAAAATTATCCAAACAGCCTATTTACTCATCCCTACATATTGATCTAACCCTGGCATTCAATCCTAGTGACCTACTTAGTATCTCATCCCCACAATTTATTCTCGGCAATATCCCTGACAAAATCAACCTATGACCCCTTTCCTTAAATGCCCTTATCAATGTTTTATACTTATCAATAAGCTCCTCTGATCCATCTTTTCTTACATAATTAGCCCAACATGTACCACACAAACTGCATTGCTACTAGCACCCTTAACTATCTCTCTGGTTCTATCAATTATGTCCTGTATCCCTGTTCCTGAATAACATAAGCATATTTTTTTGCTCCTATTTACCCCACATACTACTCTTATCTACATGCCGAACTAAAGAGTCACCTACAATTATAACTTCCCTATCCTTTACACTATCATCCCTTGTGATCCCATTTATTTCTCTTACCTGTTCCCCCTCATCACTAGCAAGTGCTTGGAACCAGTTGCTTAATCTAAACCCAAGCCCATCCTTGCCCCTAAATGCATTATGTTCCAACCTTTCAGTTTTAGCCCTATTTCCTTTTTTATCTCCCTTGAAGTCCTGTTTGCCAACTGTACCCTTTGCATGTATAAGTTCTTCACTAAGCCCCACCACCTCTTCAAGCAACATAAATTTCACCCTTTCCACCTCTGCAACTATACCCAAAAAAACCCTCCAACTTCTCCTCTAACTTGCACACCATGCATATAAATTGTACATGCTAGCTACTAGCCTCCCTAAAAGTACACGTTAACCCATAGTTTTTAAATAAAACACTCTCCTGGCTTCTATCATACTTTATCAACCCGAGAGCCCTTAGTTGCTAGACTATTCTTAACCATAGCTGATAATAATATTGACTGTAAAGTATGATGAAGTTAAGATTATTTTTAACGTGCTATGTTAACAGTTATGGTTAATTGAAAATAAGAAAAATTAGACATTTGGGTAAGACCATTTGAATTCCTAGCTTTAACACAGAATCTGTTAACTATTTCTGAAGAAGTTATTTGTTATCTGGATGATGGAATGAAGGTTGATTTGGTTTACTTAATAATTCAAAGATACTTTTGATAAACAGCAAAAACAGAAGGTTACTTATGAATATAACATCAGTATGTATTTGGGAAAAAATAATTAACTAATAATCAATAAGTTCATATTATTGTAAATTGGAAACTTAAATATATTAATAACTTAATGCTCCTATTAATCCATTTAAGATTAGCATTTTGTAATTGTATGAAAATATTATAATGCTACCCAAGTACGTTGACTGAAAGTGAAATTCCATTTTTGAAAGAGAAATTTTCTAAAGTTGTGAAACCAAAAACATGCCAATTTTAATTTATTAACTCTCTCTTAACTCATACCTACTAAGTTATATTCAAAGTATCAAAAGTTTATGTGGTAAATACTACTAGTACTAGTGATATTATTTCTTATATTTGTTAGCATTAATACTGGTATTACTAGAACTACTACTACCACTATTAGTAATGCTCAAGTGCAGTTATGATTTTACCCAAGAACAATAGTACTAAAGTAGAACTTAACCAAGATCTAAAACAGCATCTTGCTAACGTTAAAATAATTAAATTTGTTAGGTTTAACTTAAACCTCAGTTAACGTATTCATGTTGTATTGGGCGCTTACCTATCAATGTCTGCCAAAATTCCAAGTTCTTGTGACGTTAAGGCGACAGATGCATAATCTTCTAATTCCACAACCATACTAAACTTCCTACTTGTTATTATACGAGCTAAGATTTGAAAAATAATATCTCAAAATGAATAATTTTCTTCTTTATCTTACAAAACAAACGTAGTGCATGGTAGTACACTAAGCCTATTTGTTAGGCCTACCTTCAACGCTTCACCCCTCATCTTCAAACATGGCGTCACTCAGTGATCATAATTTAATCAACACAGAAGATATACATATATATATATATACCAAATCGTTAGAATATGTGATAGATTATATTATTTAACAAATCATTCGAAAAATAATAACAGGATAAGAACGTCAAGTAGAACAAATTTTAATACATCGAAAAATACTAACGTATATATATATGGATATATATACGTAATGTATACGATTCAGTAAATAATTATTGAAAAAAGTAAAACTTAAGAATTTATATCCATGTAAAGATCCTTCATACTATAACTTATCATCTATCTTCAGTCCAGGATTTCTGTACTTTATGAAAAGAAAAGAAACAAATTATCACTAACTTTCACATATACATACATACATGTGTTACTAAAATATTGTATAAGTTTTGCACTTGTAGCAAACATAACTCCTGTATTATATAAATAACATCCTATAAGCCTGATTGTGATCGAAAAATTGCATATATTAGTGATTAATTTAAATAGACATGCTTAATTTCGTTTTCTATAATTACCAAGAATGAATTATTATTCACTGTTTGTTGTTTGTTTCTTTACATGTACATGCACTATCATTGTCAAAAAGTTGTGGTACATACTAAAAACGTTCGTTACTCATCTGTGACATATAATTCATATCTACAAAGTTCCTGCATTTTATAAATTTTAATCTCGCTCAGCTCATGTGTTGAATTAAACCTGAAGTGTTACTTTTTTTAACTGATAGTCAAAAAAATGATCTACTGTTCAACGATAGTTGAATTCTGTCCTACCTGACCTTGAGTATGGATAGCAATACATCATCACATGGAGTAGAAATATTTCCGTATTACGATGTCTGTATTCTGATCGGTCAGCTACGGAGAAAATGTGTATTTTGAAAGAAGTTTTGACACTTTTGTACAACAGATTCATTCCAGTTTTTATGGAAGAAAATAAGTTTGACAGACCACATTTCTATCGTGAACTCATGTCGCTGTTCATGCACTGTTTTATTCCATTCTTAGTTTTTAATGTTAAATTATACTCATTCACGTTATTTAAAAATGGTTCAACTGTTTTCATTTCTTCTACTTGCAATAATCCTATTGCCACCTGATAATCAATCGCTATTTACTTTGTTTCAATGGTGTTGTTGCGTATCTGCTCGTTTGTTAATTTCCGGTATAAATTCTTTCCGAGGAACTTCAGCAATACAAGCCCTTTCTTAAATAAAACTAGTTTATTCTTTCTCAATACAACTTTGCAATACACAGAATTTCCACAGTTACTTTAACTTAAACACACACTACAATTCACAATGATTCACGTACTTTACTTACGGTCACTATCGCTCGCTTAACTCAATTATCTGTCTCTATATCGGTCTATCAGCAATTATTTCTCCGCTTTATTTCCCGAGCTTATATACAAAAAAGAGGACACCTAGAAAAGACTAGAGTTGCCAGGAAAAGTCAAGATCCTTCGAGAATCTCATGACGTGTTACCAGAGTCACGTGACTTCCGCTGTCGTAACACTGCCCCTTCCAAGGTATTGTTCGTCCCGAACAATAGCCACTTACATTA